GACAGGTTAGAATTTTGGGTCGTGACATATAACTTGAACCGGGTAATTTTTTATTTTTTATTTTTAGGATTAGATTTTTTTTTCGGAGTAGAAAAAAGAGAGAGATGAAAACCTTTTGTGACTTGTTAGATACTAATATTTAGGCCTAAGCTTGAGTAGTACTTTCCTCTGAGTGCTTGAGTAATGAATAAAATAGCATACTCTCTGACACCTAGGCTCAGAGTTGTGACTCCGTATATAGCTTATTCTTATTTTGCCATTCGCTATGATCCTGTATATCGTAGAGTAGAATTGATCCATCTTGATTGATACTTGTGCCATATGGGGTGAGGAATTCTTATATATATTCCATGTTTTCCATCTTAGTCTAGAACTTGCCCTGCATGTTGTTGAAGCGAAATAAAAGTGTTGCTCTATTAGAAGATGATAATAGTCTTTCTTAGATTTGTCTTGTGAATTTTAGCCTTTTCAAATATTGTACCACTAGTTAGCCCTTTGAGCCTACAGCCTTTTGTTTGGAAGCCGTATTTTGCCTTAGTTCTTTTATTGAATCCCTAGTTTTTGCACCCTTCTTCCTTGAGCATTGTTGCTTAGGTTGTGATATTAATTGATAAATTTGAAGAAAGGGATGATTAAGTAAAAAATGGTGACCAACGATAGTTGAAAAGTGATGAAAAAGTCCTCTTGAAAAGAATGTGACATGGAAAAAAATGAAATAAAAATTTTCTTTTAAAAAAAAATGAAACGTTCTTGGTATAAGGGAAATACTTGTGAAAACAAGTGATGAAAAGATGGCTGGAAAATAAAATTAAGAGATAAAAATAATAGGTGACGAAGTCTAAAAGTGCAAAATGCTTAGGGATGTGTAAGTCACTATTATATAGTTTACCTACCCGTCCCTAGCCAACATTACAACCTGTTAAAGTCCTATTTGATTCTAATCGAGCATACTTAATTAGTAGAGGTGTACATAATGGGAAATCCTATGGTTCTTTGTGCATACATGTGAATATGTTTGTGAGTGCGAGAGTTATTTTTTTTATGCTAAATCCTTAAATTATATTCATTCTTTGATTTGAGTGTATGGACTAATTATTCTTGTGAGCTTAATTATTTAGTATCAACCGAAGTGGTGGTGTTTATAGACTTGATTTCTTGAGAGTGATTTTAATGCTTACTCGATGACGAGCAAGAGTCTAAGTGTGGGTTGTGATGTTCGGCGAAAAATACATATATTTAACCATTGTTGTCTCACATTCTCGTACTTTAATCGTCTTTTGAATTTTAATTATATTACTTTGTGCTTAATATTATATTTTAACTGTGTAGGAATAAAGCGATATGAAGATGAAGAAATTTATTCAAAATTAAATAAAATACGGAAGAAAAAAAGAAGGAAAATAAACGAATAAAAAGGTGGGAAAAGGGGGACACCGTTTGGTGTTTGTCCCCCAAGTTGAAGACAAAAAAGAAGAAAAATACAAATAATAAAGAAGGCAAAAACGTACCTTGGAGGAAGAATTGAAAGAAAATGCGGAAACTTACTGCCTCCACTGCCACGGCCAACGCCCCATGCTGGCCTGGACCCTGCGTTGCAGGATTTTTCTTATTTCGCTTGTGATAAGGTTATTTCAGCCCAAAACCTACCCAATTCGTATAAAAGTAAGTCTAAACCTATTTTGGAGGGGGAGACGACACTTTGAGAGGAAAAGACAAGCACGGAACACTCAGGAGCAAGGATTCTCAATTTTTCTTTCTCTTCTCTTTCTTTAACTTTATAGTTTATTAGTTCTAGAGTTTTGGGTACTACATGAACGTTGTAGTTTGAAGCTTGAGTTGTTTTTATTATTTTATCATATTGGTTTATTTATTCAATCTTGCGCTTAATTATTTGATTGCTTGATTACCAATTGAATACTATCTACGAATCTAGGATTGAACTTGTGAGAAGAAATTCTAGATTGCATATAAGATTGAGTAGAGCAAGATCTTGAACTCGAGCATCGGGAATGGATTTGCGGTTAGGACAGGGATATACTTAATCGCCTTGCTTGGTTACTATACATGAATTATTAATGCGTTCTTGCTAATCCTAATTCCATAGGAATATAGGTGTTAAGTTAGCTTGAATAGGCGAATAGTACTTCGGGAGAAGGCTACGAGCAATATTAACCCTGTCAATCAATAAACCAGATAAATTAATTAGACGATTTAAGTTGAAAACTCAACGGGATTGTTAGCTAACCCATAACTCTAGAATATTTTCTCCTATTGAATTCATCTCTAAGATTGCAGACTTGTTTCCTTTAATCTCTTAGTTTGCTACTCTAGATTAGTTGTAGTTAAATATTCATACTTTAGATAATCGCTTGAATATATTAATTGTCTTAGTTTAATTTAGTAAATAGTTAATTACAAGTCTCAGTGCGTACGATATCTAGACTTACAATATTACTTGTTGACCACATATACTTGCGTGTGCGTTTGGGAGCAACAACACCTAATTCTTTCATTGTTAATTAATATTACTCATTAGGAACTCCATGTGATTATGATCATAGATAAGTTGAATAAAAAGTTAGAGCTTATTAGTTCGTCCGAACTTGTTGCTAATAATGTAGCTCTACCATCGCTACCCTATTTTCTTTTTCCTTTTGGAGATTATGATCATTATAGTAAAATTACCACTTCAGAGTAAGGGTTTCTTTATGTTTTATGTGCATATTCGATTAATCTTGGCATCAAGTGTTATAATTATCAAAACAGTATAGTGTTTGATTAGTAGAAGATAGAGTTGCCACATAGGCTAATTAAATGACGACATGTGTCAAAAAAAAGTGATGATATGTGAAACACCCTCGGGTTGAACAAATTCATACTATGTCTTTTAGTCTCAGAACTAAATATAAGAGAATAGTCTCGGGTCTAATGGAAAGGGTTATTAATAGATATGAATAAGGAAAGAATCAATCAATCCCCGATTTGCTATTATTACTTCATCTGTTATAAATTAATTATGTAACGGACAATTAATAAACAACAGTAACGAGCATGAGCTAGACAAGGTGAACAACTATGAATGGGATTACTATTTAAACCCACATTCCACATCTTGTATCCCTATAGAAAACTATTTAATTATTCTCTCAATCACATTGTCCCATCTTTGCCTTCTATTTTTGGCAAATTATTATTGTGCTCATAAGGAAGAAAGGGTACAATCATCAGTAAGATTTTCATTTCCTTTTATCTCTCAATTTGTTCCCTTTTAACATTTATTCCTTTTTCTTAACATTTATATCTGAAAAAGTGAAGTAAATCGGTTGTTAGTGACTCGCAATATTTCTTTAATTGCTTTGACCATAAAAGCTAGTATTTTTAGGTTAAACAGTGTTTAAAAGAATCAAGATTAATCTCAATTCTATGTCAAACAAGATGATTATTCTCAAAAATCTTATCACACATAGATATCATACTTAAAGATAAAAGTATGCCCATTACTTAACTAAAGTGGAAGTCTTCAGTTAATAAGACTAAGTCATTAATCCTATGTAAGTCATTTTTTAACTAGAAACCAAACAGGTAACTGATTCAATGGTTTGCTGACTTGGTTGATGATCAAGAATGCCCAACCAAAGATATTCCATAACTTTCAGTTTTTCAATTCTATGGCCACAAACTCAATATATTGAACCAAAGACAGACACAATTAATATTTTAAAAGCGAAAAGTGCACAAAAGTGACAAGCACACTATATATATTCATATTAGTATAGCACACATCAAAATTGTTTTGAAATCACATAGGAAATATCCTTATTAAATGCCTTTTTACTTTTCTTTATAAAGCTTTGTTGGAACTTGCCATTCCAACTGTTCGCATACCATGGCGAGATGTAGGAAATGGGTCATTTAATACAAAGTTTGAAGCATTTCTAAGGAATATAAAAAATGTAATCAATTCTCAAAAGAGTATATTTAAAAAAATGGTGATGTAGTTAATGGACCATTAAATTTGAGAGACATTTCCTCATGTTTCGCTCCATCACACTTATCTTCCTCGTGGTTTTGGATATTATCCTTACCTTCCTTATTTTGATTTTTTTGTGACAATTCTTTTAATATGTTTTTTTATTAATTAAAAAATTATGATCCAACTAATTTTCCCTTTCGGATATATTATTAATTAATTATGTAAATGCCCTTCAAAACAACATACATATAATGTTTTCGCAATTCTACACTAGAGAATCTGCATCATTTGTCAGCATTGAGGTTTAATTTTTGGAAGTTGAAGTGGTGTTTGCACATACAGTTTATTTAGAAGAAAAATAAAACTTGAAATTTTATGAGTGGAAGAAAAACATTCTTTTGCACAACTCACCAATTATTTTCATGTTTTCTCGTCTATTATTATTTGATGATGGTGTTCGTTTAATATGGAGTATAATGGCAATCTTCGTTTTATAAAGTTACATGGAATTAAAAATATTAGTAATGTAAGAAAATATTAAAATCATATTTGAAAAGTTAGTTAGACAGAAAAAACAACGTGTTAAAATTTAGAAGTTTGAATATTAAATGAACATGTATTCTTGAGAGTTATAAAGATACTAGTGAATTTGATCGCGCTTCGCGCAATTATAAAGATAGCAATAAATTTTGAAATAATATTTTTATAAACTTAGCAGAGATAGAATAAATAACAATTTTCTTGTATATGCATATAATTTTTAATTCTTTTATATTGATTAAATAAAAAAGGTAATATATTTACTGAAAGTAGAATATTTTACTGCATATTTCATCATCAAACCTCTTTTCTAAAATAAAATAAAAATAAAAAGAATTTTTAAGAAACTTTTCACTTTTAAATATAGGTATGTATTGTTTTCTTATTCAAATTGAAGAAACAAACAATGAAAACTAAAGAAAGTAAAAACATAAAGAAAGCAAAAATATCAACTTATTATTGGTTATATACACTTGCATCTTCCAATTTCACAACAAAAAAAAATGTCAAGTGAAGTACATATTCACATACTACTAAAAAAAGAAATTCACAACACACAAATGTGTGCTACAGTGACTCAAGTCTCCAACAGAAGGCAAATGAAGATAAGAACTCCATAGTAAGCAAAAAGTTACTATAATTTTCAGAGTAAACCCCGAATTCTCACGAAGGGCTCATTAACACGATTTTTTATATCAATGGCAACAAAGATTTTTAGCAAAAACACAACTCAGTTTATAGTATAATATCTTTCTGGACCATCCTTAACCTTAAAAAAATAAATAATAATGAATTAATAATAAAAACCAGTTTCCAGCAAACTAAAATTCAAAGGTCATAAAGGTGTTCCAATAAATCATTCTCTACAAAATATTTTTTTTTTCAACTGGACAACTATTCTAGGCTTGATTTACTTCTGTTTCCATAGAAAAATTACAAGCTAATATATGTCAAATTAGAAATTGGAATAGCTATGTATATATTGCACAAAGGAGTAAAAATTATGTTAAAAATATCAATATTATATAGTTTACCTTTCAAATGAAGATTTTTTACCAGAATGTGGATAAGCCTCGTCTACGTACTCTTATCATTCAAAATATAATATTTTCTTCAAAAAACACCTTCACCTAGACAAAAAAAATTCACAATACTATTAATAAGGTGACATGAGAAGCCAAACGATAAGGTGACAAAAATTGAGGAAGATAAAGAGTTTTAAATCAAGAAAATAAAATATGTTAAGAAGAAGTAAAAAATGTTAGAATTGGAAAGCCAAAAGATCAAATAGAATATCAAACGAATGGCCAACTCCCCTTGTCTTGTTTGGCTTATATATATACAAAGTAAATAACACATTGGAGTGGGAGAAGAGAGTAATTAGAGTAATTAGAGTAATTAAGGAGGGGATTGAGAAAGTGACTATTGGAATGCCTAGTAATGGAATAGGAGTAATATTTAGTGTAATTACACACTATTACACCTTAATAGACATTAATCTTAGGAATTAAGGAAGGAGAAGTAAACCAAAATATTTAGAGTTATTGGGAATAAACTCAAAAAAAGGAGAAAATAGATAAATAAGATCCTTGGCCAAAGAGAGGTGCCAACTCATCTCCTATTTTTTTAACTTTTTTCTATTATATAGAAAAGAAAAGGAGAGATGGTCGACCACGGGGCAAAATTGTCATTTTGCTCAAAAGAAAAAGTGCTTGTATCTAACTCCATCTCTTCCGACCTTTTTTTTCCTCATCCTCCATACACGACGTGGGTCTAGAAACATCTTCCGATTTCCATCTCTTTTGTTCCAACACATCGGAGGAGTACTTCAGTTCTCCTTCTTCAAACTTTCAACAATAACTCTTTTCATCTTCTTATTTATCTATTAAATTTCAGGTATCATTCTTTCAATCTTTGCTCTCATCTCTTTCTTTCTTTGTTTCTTTTTGATCTGTTTAACTATTTCCAATTTTATGGATAAATTTCCTTGAATTTCGTGTTTTCCAACCAAATGATGAGCAATCACCATTTTAAGGGTTATTCTCCATCCAATTTCATTGGTGTTGCCTTCTTCTCGTTGATTTGCCTCTATCTCTTCTTATTCCGTTTCTTTACATTTTTTTCTTTCTTTTTGTATATTTTATATTTTCATGAATTGTGAATCGCAAGTATGTTTCCAGGTTCTTCATAACTGTCTCTTTGCACACCCCTCGCTCTCCATAGACGAGGGAAAGAAAAATTGGAACTCATGATAACCCAATTTTAATAAAGCACTAAAATTGGTGTATGGGTTGAGATTGACATAAATTGGATGAATTGAGTCGAATAACTATTGAAAATAATTTGTGCATGTGAATTTTTATTGACAGATGTTATTCATTATTTCATGTCTTAGGAAGGGTTAATAAGGCTTAAGATGATTTGGGAACTCTTCTTAGAAGTTGTGTTCGAGCAACATCTGTTTGTTTGAATTTAAATTTGTTTATCTGGGTAGGAATTTAAGGAATATGGAAGGTATTTTAAAGGGCATGTAATGGGATTGCTTTATATGATGACTCATTATTGTTAGTGGGATTTGAAAGTAAAGGAATGGAGGAGTAAGTAGTAGAGTACTAATGATTGATAGAGATTGTATGAACTTGCAACAGTATGCAACAACTTTGAGAAATATACAAGAGGGGTAGAGATGTAAGGGCATATATAAGAGGAGACCTGAGCCAAGGATGTAGCTTAATTTATTTATTTTACTTTTTATTTCCTGTTTATTGGCATTTGCTAATATAATGTGTATTCAACAATAAATTATAGTTGTTTGTCTTATTGAGAATTCTGATTATCCCATCTTTAAGCTTAAATGGTCTTATTATCTGTTGATGTGTTCAAGTAGCTAGGTATTAAATCAGCATATGCTATCTTCACCCATTCTTTTTTATTGTTTTCCACTTATGCAATTTCATTGGAATATTCTTTAAGTTTATATTTTGTTTAGATATTTTGACCAAAAGTACAAGTGATAGATTGATCTTGCCATCTTGGATACTTTGCTTACTGATTCATTTGGTTACTTTTTGATAGTTGGTTTGTTCTCTTGTTAGTTCAGCACACGAATGCACATGGGTAATCAGGTTTGTGTATTTATCAATGAAAAATATTATTGCGTTCCTACATGCACTATGCTTTTACATACATATAGTATGTATAAAAAATATTCTTCCATGATGATTACTTTTAACTTTTGTAAATTAAAACTATTATAGAGAACCCAAAAAAGGATTATTTTCAAGGTCATGGAAGCGTACTCAAAGGTCCTCCTCCATCGCTTCAAGTGGCAAAGGTTGTGAACTATGTTTCTTGGTACACTTCTTTCTATCCCTCAAGGCCTCAACATATTGTTCTCCACTTCTTTTTGGGTATAAGTTATTTTTTCCATGTTTATGATTATCATTATGATTATTGATGGTAAGGCCTAGCTCTCTCTTTATTCAGTTACTTGAATCAACTGGTGTACTTACTTTTGTGCTTTTAAAATATTTCATCGCTTTCATACTATACTTACAAGTTTAAAGATCAGCTATATTCTTTTTAATATTATGGAACATATGGTGACTAAATCTAGCATGCAAAAACTTTTCTCCTTTTCAGAAAAGATAGTATTCTAATGCATGAAATAACTGGTGATCGAGGAGGTTTTATATTCATATCTGAAAGTTCTAGCTTTGATGTTGCTTATTATTTTTTACTACAAGAGTTTCTTTAATTTTCATTTGGCTAATAGATAGGGTGATTTTTTATACAATAGCATGTAGTAGTATTATCTTTCGGAATTAAATATTTCATAAAATTATACTATTGTTAGATATTGAGTTTTATTTGTGAGTTGAAGTACAATAACTCTTTAGCACACTGTATTATTACCATGAGATATTTTCTGTTCTATGAGTTCACCTACTAAGATTAAGGGCAAATAAAACAAGGAATCAAGGATAGTTTTGCATGATTATTGTAGAGTATATTTGGTAACTGTGACATGGTATAACTTTGTTTGTTTCCTTGATTATAAGTCTTTGCAAATTACATATACAAATGCACTTATAAAAAAGTACAGTTTATGCAAAAGCGGTGACAGGAACAAACCAAAATTTTGAGAAAGAAAAATATATATTACCTAGGCTGAGTGTCATTTCAAATATAAGGTGCTCTTGCAGACAGAATAACACAAAATCGTCAATGGTACTTGGCTGATCAAGCATTAGAAGTTCGTTGATTAAATTTTGATTGGGAATGTAACGACTCGGCCGGTCGTTTTGAGTATTATAATCTCGTTTTCCCATTTACTAGTCAAATTATAAATTACAGTTGTTATTTGGCTTGTCGGGGTAATTGGTTTGGGTCCGGTAAGGTTTTGAAATGATTTGGAGCACTTAGTTCCAAGGTTTAGAATTTAAGTTGAAAAGGTTGACCGGATGTTGACTTATGTGTAACGACCTCGGAGAAATTTTGCTAAGGAAATTAAGGTTTTGGTTGAAAAATGCACCGATGTGTAAAGAAAAATTTTGTCGGAAAAGGGTCATTTCTGCGACCACTATGCGGTCGCAGAATCACTCTGCAGACCGCATAATGGTCGCAAAGTGGATCAGTAGAGGAGCAAGATTTGAGAAAAATCTGCGGTGCACTATGCGACCGCAGACCTGTTTTGCGGTGCATTATGCGACCGCAGAACAAGTATGCGGACCGCATAATGACCGCAGATCGGGTCAGTAACGCCCAGCTTTGGAGGCCAAATTATGCGGGCGGTATGCAGACCGCATACCTGTTATGCGATCGCATATGCGACCGCATAACTGCGTCGGAGCTTCCTTTCATTCTAATTTTTGACCCTATCCAACTTCGATTTATAGCCCTTGAAGCTCAACTTTGAGCCAAAATCTGATATTTTAGAGAGAGGTGAGAGCATTTTAGAGAGAGAAAGTGAAGACTTAGTCATTTATCCATCAATTCTTGTTCAAGGTTTGAAGATTTCACAAAGATCTTGCTAGGGCTTCAAAAGGGTAAGAATTTCTTTCCTCAATCCTTCAATTTCGGGTTTGGAATAAAAATGTGTGATTTATAGTATGATTCTTGGGTGTAAAAGTATTATGTATACATACCAATAAGATTGTGGAAGGATTGTTAAGTTCAAATGGGTAAGGATTAGGTTGAATATGGTAGAAATCTTTATAGACTTTAATTGAAGATTTGAGGGTTGAGTTGATGTCAGATTTTGGTGAAATTTATATGGTTGGACTCGTGGTTGGATGGGCGTTCATATTCTGTAATTTTTGTCGGGTTCCGAGACGTGGGCCCTACGGGCGATTTTTGAGTTAATTTCGGATTTTATTGGAAAAATTAGTATTTTCCTTATGAAATTAATTACAATAATTTATATTGACTGATTAGAATTAATTGTGGCTAGATACGAGGCTTTTGGAGACCAATTCTCGTGGTAAGGGCATAGCGGAATAAATAAATACACGGGTTGAGGTAAGTAACAGTTTTAAATCTGGTCCTGAGGGTATTAAACCCTGGATTTTGGTATCATGTGATTATTTTGGAGGTGACGCACATACTAGGTGACGAGCATGTGGGCGTGCACCGAGGGGATTGTGACTTGGTTNGTGACTTGGTCCGTCTCGGGAAACTGTAAAGTTGAATAATTTGTAATTAGCTATATGCTCTCTATGTGTTGATAAAATTTGACTGTAAATCATGTTAGAAATCATGCTTAGGCTATGTGATGGTACTGTTGGGACCCACAGAGGTCGTGTACATGTTGAATTGCCTGCTAAATGCTATATTTACTCAGTCTCAGTTTTTACTTGCACATTTTATCTCAGTTTCTGTTATTATTATTGATACATTATATCATTGTTATTTGAGCTGATTTCATGATTATTGAGAGTCCGAGAGACTGGAGAGATTTATGACTGAGGGAGGCCGAGGGCCTGATTGTGANCATGTTGTCTTTATATATATTATTACTATTATATGGATCGGGGCTGCCCGCCTGCAGCAGGCCTTATTGGCTTATTATTGCACGTGAGTTGGTCGTGCAACACGTGAGTTGGCCGTGCGGATCCTTATATTATTATTGCACGTGAGTTGGCCGTGCAGTACATGAGTTGGTCGTGCGGGTCCAGACATTTATATTATGGCACGTGAGTTATCCGTGCTTATAGCGCTTGGGCTGTAGGAGTCCCTCATGAGTCGGTACACCCCCAGTGAGCGCGGGTACCCATTGAGAGTGAGTGATGAGGGCTGGGAGCCCAGTGAGTGATTGTTGTCCTAAGAGGTTGTACTTGATTTCCATTTGTTGTTGCACTTAGTTGCTATCTTTCATTGTTGTGAAATCTCTGAAATATTGGTGATATATGGATTACATGAACAGGAACTGTATAAAAAAAATTGAATTGACATTAAACTGCCAGATTTGATAGCATGTCTATTCTTTTGCTGGAATTACTGGAAATGAACCATAATTGTGTAGCTCCTTACTATCTTCAATTCCTTATTTGATGAGCTATTGAGAAAGATTGAGTGGCTGTTGCCCTGAGGGGCGGTATTTGCTTCCATTGCTGTTGCACATAGTTGTTATATGCCATTGTTTGAAACTTCTGAGGGATATTATATCAGGATTTTACTCGAACTTGGCATTTATAAATTGATTTGACTTAAACTGCCGAATTTGAAAACTTGTCTACTTTCTTGTTGAGATTAGTGAAAATGAACTATAATTGCATAGCTCGTCACTATCTTTCAGTTCCTTATTTATTATTGTTACTTACTAAGTTGGTTGTACTCTCATACTACACCCTGCACTTCGTGTGCAGATGTAGGTGCTCCCGGACATAGCGGGTGTTGATCCTTTCGCGCGGTTGATTTTCAGGAGATTTTGAGGTAGCCGCCGTGTTCCGCAAACCTTGTCTCTCCTTCTCTATCTCTTTGTTCACTGTATTTGGTCTTAGACTATTATAGATTATATTTTTCAGACTTGTATTCATATTAGATGCTCGTGTACTCAGTGACACCAGGTTTTGGGGAGTGTTGTATTGTATTTAAATATTATATTTTCAATCTTGAGAGAAATTGTGGTTTATTGAGATTTTCGGCTTGCCTAGTATTGAGATAGGCGCCATCACGACGAGTGAGATTTTGGGTCATGACAGGAAAGTTATAGAGTAAGTACCATCTTGAGCTAACTATATCTTGAATAAAATTTTATGTTTGTTTATATCTTCTCCAATATTTCGTGAACTCTAAATTATTTTCGTTTGTTGACTCTGGTAGAAGCTGATTATTCATCAAAGGGAGATTTAAAAGAACCCCATGACCGAGGTATGTATTGGTTCTTGAGCACTATCAGCTCACTGAATATATATAGATATAAAAAATGTGTTATATTGTAATTGTGCTAAAGAGTTTGTACTTGAATTAGACCATATACTCAGTTTCCTTTGAATATTTGGCTTATGGAACTTCAATTTGATACTTTATGTGATAAATACAATAAATAAATCATTTTATCAATGTCGTGAAGCAAAGAAGAAACTTTCGAATTAAAGTCTGAAAATTTTGAGAAAAGCAAAGTGGATCACTTTTTTATATTTCCCTGTTCTTGATGAGCAATCAAAAAATTTTATATTGACAAAGCTCTCACTAAGATAATGTTGGAATAACATAGGAGAAATATTAATATCATTCCATATTTATTTATGCAGTAATGACAAAAAATATATCGATATATTTACTTCATATTCGTGTATGTTCTTTATAACGAATGGACTTTTTGTGTTATTTGGTAGTCATATGATTTTAATATTTTTTGTTTCTTTAATTGAGGGCAAGTAAATGTATGGACCAACTTTTCTGGACATTATTTGCATTTCATATAGTTGTCAGCATTAGCTTATCAAAGAAAACATAAGGCTTCGCATTTATTTTTCGTTAATTCTTAAGTGGTTTAATCTCAAGGATAGGAAGATCCTATACTGTTTTAATAAAAAATTAGATTTCCGATACAATCTTTAGAATTTAGATTGTAGTAATAGTGTCTTGGCAACTTACTTTGTGCCTACTCTAAAGGGCCATAACTCGATTCTTACTCTGAGTAGTTTGTTTGCAGATTGGTTTGTGTATATGCTCTCTCTCACACACACACACACACACGCGCGCATGCATATGCGCACGCATATGTCTTTATCTCATGATATATTTCAATTCTTGCTATGGGACGTTTATCAGTTAATGTTTTCTATCTAAAAAATGTTTGACTTCTTATTTCTCTTTTCGGAACAGGAAAAGAAGTTATTTGAAGAGTACCCAATAGTAGATGTTTCCAGTAATGCACAAATATTTGCAAGTTGGACTATGTTATCTCTTTTGTTCATAGTGCAAATACATTTGGTTGATTACGTAGCATAGGATGGTGGGTAGGGAATGGAGAGCAAATACATTTGGTTGATTAAGTAGCTTGAGTTTGATTTTGTATATAAAGGGAGTAGAAGAAAAGGAAATATTTGCTCAGTTTCAATAAGTCTAGGAAGACAATATACATTATTCTATGTTTGTCACTATTTTCCAAGGTTAGAATTGTGCTTCCGTCTTTGTGAACTAATGTCTATTCTAAATCATTTATAGTTTTTTAGGGTCACTATGTGGATGCAAGATTATACACTGACATCAAAATTCAAAATGTTGGGCCCGTGCTATGCACGGGCAATACTCATCTAGTATATATATTATATATATAGATTATTGTAGTATCGACCGAAGTTTTCTCGGTTATAACCATAACAATAAGCCAAGTGCATTTGTTCATCAGAAAATGGTATTTATCTTGAATGCATGTTTAGCTGCAAAGTAGATAACCCAAGTTACACTAGACATCCAATTTTGAAGCAGATTATTATAAATAAAACTCTAATTAATATTGTTACACGTTTTGAAATGAGAATTCAAGAACGGACTGATGAATGATGTTCTACTAATTCCTGTGTACTTTGAATACAGCCTAGAGGAGAGCATATGGACGAACACAATTAACATGAATATTATATCGTCAAACACCTCAAAAACGACGTTCAATCACTAAAAAGGATAATTAGTTTACAAACTACTCCCAACGAAGTCTCAGTTATGGTCAATTCAACTAGCCAAGACACTCTGAATAGTCAATCTAAAGAATAAAATCTTCTCTTTAGAAACAACCGACTATACATGAAAGTCAAAAAGTTGCCTGAGATAACCTTGTTTAAAGTTTAATTTAGTTCTCTTAAACAAAAAGGAAAATACAAAAATTATGTGACACACAATTTGACACTACTAAGAAAAAAGGAACTTCTAACTAATTATCCCTAAACATATTCATACGGCAAACACGCAGCATAATGCTATACTTTTCTCCTTTCTTTATTGCTTTCAGAAAGCTTCCACCAGGCCCAAAGTCAATTTCTACAACACTATCCCCCAAAGCAACCCCCCCCCCCCCAAAAAAAAAAAGGAAAAAGTTTTGCATACACAGACGGTATCCTGAAACTGATGAAAAAAACATTCTACTGAGTAAAACAATATTTCAATATTGAATACAAGTAATAAGCTACATTCAGTAGCATTCTGAACATTGATTAACAATTCAAGCAATCAGTTGAAAGATTACTCCTTGGTAATAGGAGGATTGGGAATAGGAGGCTCTCCCAACCACTTTGCACGATGGCCTGTTCCTTTACAGTCAGTGCAGCATACAAAACCCTAACAAAAGTAGAGAATTAGCTCTTGGATTGTATCTAATCTAACACATAGAAAACTTTATCTATCGCAACACGAGCAATCCTATAGGAACTTGGAATACCTGTAACTTATTAGAATAACATAGGCTCAGGGCAATTACCTTTCCAGTGCAGATGACACAGCTTGTGTTTCGAGATGGCACTTGACAGAGCATATTGTCACCAAGTATAAAGAAACCAGTACCACTGCACCACTTGCATTCCACATGGCCATTTGAGTCACAAGTAGAGCATACAATTGGCCTGGGTTGCTGAATACATCCAGGAAGAGAAAAAAAATAGATATCAATAGAAGAGAAGTCCCGTTACAAATACATGAAGCCTTAACATAGCACTCAGATATGTAAATAAGGCAAAAGAGAACGATTTGGGTTAATGAGTAGACTAGAGACCAGTGAATCTCAGGCTTAAGTACTTGGTTAAGCACATTGGATCACATGATTTTCGAAAAGGTATTATTCTTCCTACATTTTGGAGAACATACAATATTACATTCAACGTTGATGGTTGGATACTCTAAGTAGAAGTTATGTTTTTGCAGCACTTTCTTATTTTTGTATACATCTTGTCTGTGAGGGTTATCTCCACTTCAATAAACTATCTTTTTTCATCTAAAAAATAAGATGTTCAAAGCCCCACGATGGCTACCTTTTTCATATCCAGAAAGCGACTCCATATATCCTTCAAGGATATACCATATCATAGCATTTCTAAAATATCACCACAATGACATTGATCGATGCTCTTATTCACACAAGTAACTCAACCTTTAGAACATTTATCTTTGACCAAAGGCACTCAACTTATACACGCGAGCGTTTTTTAACTAGAAACTTTTCCTACACCACCTAACCTCCAATGATGCATAAATCTGTCTACCATGGACCTAACTTGACATATCAAAGTTAAGGTTGCCGACACTTGTAGCAAGCAGGGGTAGGCCCTAGCTGGATTTGTGTGTTCAACAAAGTTGAGAATGAAAAGGTACTTAAAAACGGAAAGACAAAGAGAGAGACACCAAAAGGGCTTCTTCACATGGTCCATAGGTTAAAAAAAATGAGGTATGCTATCTCATGCCTTTGAAGCATGCCTTCTGGAAGCAAGGATCACCCAACAATCCCAGAATGTTGAGAAATAAGCTCCAGGCTTATACAGCCACTGGACAATACATAAAAAGGTGTCGTGTTGTTTCCACATCCCTCTCACATCTGACACCTACTACATAAATTCAGATTTTGATGAGTCAAAATAGCATCATGGGCAGCCTCCCAGCATAAATAGGCTACCTTATATGGAGTCTTTGCTTTCCAAATCTTTCTCCATGGCCATTTGGCCACACTTCTCTGTTAATTGAAGAGGCTACCAAGCTTCTGTAGCAGCTATTAACAGAGAAAATAGCTTTTCTCCTAGCAGGACAAACAAATGTATTAGGTTCAGTTAACTCCTCAGGGCATACCAATGTGCCAAACTATTGTGCCACCCTCTAAATCTCGCAATCATTATAATCTCTTCTAAATCTAATGTTCCACCAAAATTCATTTCAAGACTCCTCAATGGTAGTGTTAGCATCTTCAGCAAACTCATAAAGGTCTGGAAATTGATCTTTTAAAGGTGTATGACCTATCCATGCAAATCATGCCAAAAATAAATTCTTCGTCCATTTCCCACCTTTAACTTGGTCATAGTAAAGAAAGCATCCCAATGTTCTTTGATGTGCTTCCAATCCCCAACTCCATGAGGTCCATGCACCACTTTACTGCACCAGCTGTTCTCTTGATGTGATTAAGTTTCCCTTCATTATTACCGATCAAATAAAAGTTTCTCCTGCATTATTAACAATATAGATACTAGAAGAGGATTGCCTTTTCTTTATGAGATTGAGAACATGATATTCTTGGTGAACTCTTTTCGTTTTGGAAGAAATCACACTCCTCTCCTTATGGCAGACGTTGTGCTTCTGGAAGTACTGTAGTAGAAGCCATACTTTTCACAATTGTTCGAAAGAGGATTCTACTTCTGAGGATATCCCAGAAAGTGCATCATCACGCCTCTTTCTACTTATACAATATGAACTTCGTTTTAACTCCTAACCTGCAAGAATACAATGTTCCATGAAAGAGGATTCTACTTCTGAGGATATCCCAGAAAGTGCATCATCACGCCTCTTTCTACTTATACAATATGAACTTCGTTTTAACTACTAACCTGCAAGAATACAATGTTCCATGAAGAGGTGAAAAAGAATACAGGGGGTATCCTTTTTCTATTCACCTCACTGACCTCAACTACAACCAAACTGCACTATATATATTTCAGAGGTAACACCAAAAATCTCTATTTCCTCATCTCTAAATAAGCACTCCACGGCAAAAAGTTTGGCCCTCTTCACCCTGCCTTTCTTTTTGCAGGTTGGGCCCTGTACACTACATTGTGGTTGTATTGTTCTTCTGCTTCTCTTATATCTTACTGTTTTTACAAGTGCAGTTACTTCTGAACCACCTTGGTTCCTGTTAATATGAATAATCTTACTTCTGAAATAAGAAGAATAGTAACAATAACTATAAAGTTATTGTGCCTTCCCCCGAACTCATATAGTTTTTAGCACTCCACATCTTCTTCATCATTTTTATCCTCTTTGATATATAGCTCTGTAGTTCTAGACTTAAGATAAGGTATCTGAAGAATATATTTACATGACCCTTTGCTACTTCAGCATCATAGCCACATATAGGTGACTCCTCAGTTCCTTTTACAGTATCACAATGTTAGGTCCTATTGGTCAAGATCAATCTAAAAATAACCTATATCAATCATCACCATCAAAGTAAAAAGAGAAACTACGCGTATGTTCTTAAAAAATGAGAAGCATCATGCTAGGATTTATGATACTAGAATACTAACTTAAGAAGTACCTCATTAACGATCACATCCCTAGGGTAACATGTCTATATAGCACAAATTATCCAGCAAATAACAAGCATAAATTTTCCCACGAAAGGAATGGTGAAGTTGAAAAACTAATCCTTCAAATCTTTGTTGTGGAGTCGATAAACTATACGCCCTTTGGTTGAATCATAAGGACTTACTTCAATTTTGACTCTATCTCCTGGCAGTATCTGTATAAAACTATGCCGGATTGGAGATACACATACAAGGTTTGCTTGTTACTAATATAGTCTAGCCTCTCGTCTTCTTTAGATCCCTTGTTTCACTTCGATAGTAGTATTGATCGTGTCAATGCAAAAGAATCTATTCGAGGGGGAGATGAGAGATATTTTGTTCCACTACAAAAAATTATTTGATTCTTGTCTTTCAAAAAATTTCCACGATATACCCGAATAATCACTTATAGGATTTAATGATTCCTAACAACGGATTCATCTCTTTCACTATCTGCATTTGGTATGGTTATTTGCTTTGGTAATAAAAAGAATAATGGTTTGGGTCATGTATCTACTTCATACTCCATTTTCCTTTTCCTTCCGGTTCCCACCTTTAACCCACCAAGCATAACTAAAAAGAAACCAGACTTCGAGAAAAACTTAGAAGAATAACTGGAACTAAGATGATATAAAGAAGGGCATAAAGCACTATAAAGACAGCAGAGCATTCATGATATTATGATTCTTTTACCGGTCGTCAACTTCTGGTAACCCTCTTCCTTAATCTGCATTTGAAACTGGCTATGGGAAGCTCACGTCGGAGAAACGTAACAGAATAGGGGATTCACATAGCCTATCTCAACTAGTTTAGGATTAAGTGGTTGATTGATTAATTTTTTTTATAACATGGTGTTGATACAAGCTTGCCACACCTTAACTAAAGCACCGAGTACCTACTACCTCTCACATCACAAGCAATGCAT